TCATAGTAATACAATACAGAAAACTTTCAAACCTGTTGAAATTTATACTGTAAATGGTCAAGCACACAATTTAAAATTTTCTCTCCAAATACCGATAACGAAAGGAAGCCAAATTATTTTTAAAATAAATTTTTTTTTAAATACGTACGGCAATTAATGAAATGGACAGCTTAGTTGTGGAACGACCTTAGTTTTTTGCTTTTGAAGTGCTAAACTTGGCCGCTTTTCACGAATCGTATTTTAATTTGTCTATCAAAAATGAGCCCCTAGGTTTTCTCAATTTATTTAGGAAAATGAATCATGTAACCTCATTAGCTTTAGAGCAATGTTTGGCTCACGCCCTGAGAAAATGGCTGTAGAAAACAGATTACAAGTGTTCTAGAAAAGGGCATGCTATTTCTGTTAGATTTGATGATCACTTTTTAGCTTGACATTTCCGTGAATCATCCATGCATGATATAGTAACGACCTGCTTTGAAAAATCATAAAAAGACCTGAAGCAAATGGACTTTGAAAATCAGACAGTCATGTCCATAATTCGTTTTTTCTCTATTTGAGAAATTCAGACGACTTGTGAAAAATGTAACTTGAATGTAAATATCCAACGTTTTATCCTCGTATTAAACGAATTGGATGTTGTAAACCATTTTTCTTTTTCAATGACAGAGCAGTGTGTCATTTCGCGAGTATTCTCCCCTGTTTTTTTATCTCGGACCAATAATACAAACTAGAGTAAAAACATATCCAGATTCTGTTGGCCTCCATTGCCGCGGCGAGTCTTCTGGACGCACTTTACTGGAACAATGTAGTTCCCAGATCCCTAATGCTTTGAGTAGAAACAAGGCATGTAAACAATGGGGTGAACTTTTTGAATGTCATCTTTAATGAATTATTTCTGACATACGTATGGGTTATTTAACCTCTGCCGTTCCGACCGTTTCTTCATCAGTCCATCGAAGTGAACAATTTATTTTGTGTTATAAAGGTTTCATCTAAAAGATCCCGAGGACAATGAGGACAATAATGAAGAAAGCGGAATTAACCAATTGCTAGTGCACCACGAGAGCTTACCTTTGGGAGTATGCCAGTCATTTTCTACAGTACTCAGCGAAGCCATGTAGTGTTTGAACGCACATAGTTGCCTCGGAAAAAAGTGGTTCATCGCAGATAGTTAAAAGTATTCAAATGATCCCCACGATCAAGCAAAAGCACGTTATGCCAAACTGTGATTCTCAGCCAAACAGTGTATTAGACCAATCCTATACTGAGCTATCCGACTTTGACTTCTCAAAAAACTGGAAATAACACAAAAATATAAGTGATGGAACAAGTGAAACTTTTGAAAGTCTTTCGTTCGGAAGTTTAATTCAAAGACCTTGTCCGCCATTGGTGGATTTCCGGAGCCATAGGTGAAGCATATTGTAGAACGTTGACACCTTTCATAATTCTGCAAAACAATATTGAGCGTTCAACAGCTTAGCTCGAGCATTTGGTCCACTAATCGTCAGATTTTTCTGCATTTCTTGAGTGTGGGCACTAAATACTTAGAGTCGCAAACCAATATTTTGCAGTCATTCGTGTCAAACATATAGAAGACCGATGGACTAGTTGAGCTTATTCACCAAGCCGTTCTAATCAGTTCCAGATATAAGTGGTGAAATGACAAAATGGTTCATATCTCTCGTATCATCATCTGATGCAAATTT